CACAGCCATTTGAGGGGAAAACTCTATGTTTTCCCCTCAAATGGCTGTGGCCCCGCCCCCAGCGTGCCCGGCGTCATCACGTCACATCTGGGTAACGTGCATGCAGCATGCGCCCGGGACACCGTCCGGGAGCCCCCTGCCACAGGAATAAACAGGTTTGGCAATCCTACCTGATGGCCATCTGACAGCAATGTGGAGTCTGTGAACTGAGGCAGATCATGAGAAGGGGAGGGCAGGGAGGGTTGCCTCGGTGCTTAGTTCTCGCGGTCCTTTCTTACACGCCCAAGGAAATGCCCATGGACACTTTGGGGTCAGGAAGCCATTTTTCTCCAGGCCAGTTTGGACGGGGATCCTGTAGAGTTTTGTTTGGGTTTTTTTTGTCACCTTCCAGGTGTGGAACAGGGGTCACTGGGGTTTGAGGGGGAGGTATTTGTGGATTTCCCGCGTTGTGCGGGGGGTTGGACTAGATGACTCTGGAGGTCCCTTCCAACTCTATGATTCTACCCAAGGTTGAAGTCCCCATGCAGTCATATAGATTACTGGGTGGTCTTTGGCTAGCTGTGTTCTTTTCGCCTAACCTATCTCACAAGACTGTTGTGTGGGAGAATGAAGAAACAGAGAGCCCTGAGCTCTATGAACAAATATCGATAGATGGATGGATGGATAGATAGATGATAGGTAGGTAGGTAGGTAGGTAGGTAGACAGATGAACGGTTGGTAGGTAGGTAGGTAGATGATAAGTAGGTTGGTAGATGGATAAATAGATACGTGTGTGTGTGTGTGTTAAGTGCCATCAGGTTGCTTCTGATGTGTGGAGCCCCTACGAGCGGTGGCTCAGAGGTTAAGATGCTGAGCTGCAGACTGGAAGGTCTGTAGTTCGGCAGTTCGAGACCTGAGTGCCGCGTGACGGAGTGAACTCCCGTCTCTGGCCCCAGCTCCTGCCAACCTAGCCATTTGAAAGCAAGAAATGGCAAGTCGATAAACAGGTAACGCTTCGGTGGGAAGGTAACAGCGTTCCGTGTGCCTCGGCATTTAGTCATGCCGGCCACATGACCACAGAGACGTCTTCGGACAGCGCTGGCTCTTCGGCTTGGAGAAGGAGATGAGCATGTACAGATTTCGGTCTGTTGTTGTGTAGCCTGTGTGACAAACTGTGTGATAGAGTTTGGGGGAATTCTAGAATGTTGCACCGTCACAGTCACATCACTTCTGGGTTCAAGCGGGGTTGACATGATCTTCTAGGATTCTCCCAAAATTCTATGGTAAAATTGTAGAGTTTGAGGGAATTCTAGAATATTGCACCTTCGCAATGATGTTACTTCTGGGTTCCTGCTGGGTTGGCATGACACTCTAGGGTTAGAACATAAGATACGCCAGTGTTGGATCAGGCCAAAGGCCCATCCAGTCCAACACTGTCACACAGTGGCCGAAAATACCAGGTGCCATCAGGAGGTCCACCAGTGGGGCCAAGATATTAGAAGCCCTCCCACTGTTGACTCCCCCAAGCACCAAAACCATAGAGTTTGGGGGAATTCTAGAACATTTTACTGTCACAATGAAGTCACTTCAGGGTTTATGCTGGTTTGGCATGATGCTCTAAGATCCCCTCCCCCCCAAAAGAAAATCTATGGTAAAACCATGGAGTTTAGGGGAATCCTTGAATGTGGCACCATCACAACGACATCGCTTCTGGATTCATGTTGGGAGTAATGTCGAGGCATGGCTGAGACACCTATTTTGCATAAAAGAGTCCACATTTTGGCTCTCCCTTATGTTGAACTTGGTGGCCTTTTCAGCTTCTCGCCTGTGCTGTACGTTGCAGGCGGTCTTGTCCGTCGGCCCTCTGCCCCACCCAGCTTACGTGCTCTTCTTTACTTCCAGGCAATGCAACAAAACCTCCAACGGCAGCGACAGCTGCGACCTCATGTGCTGCGGGCGCGGCTACAACCCGTACATGGATAAAGTGGTGGAGAGGTGTCACTGCAAGTACCACTGGTGCTGTTACGTCACCTGCAAGAAATGCGAGAAGACTGTCGAGAGATACGTGTGCAAGTGAGGCCCTCGGTCCCCTCCGCCGGGCCCTCGGACCGAGAACGCCACGCCGCCTTCTTCCGAGGCAGGAGAGAAGCTTTCCCACGCTTAGACCACGTTTACTTTTGCAGAGCCACGGGGGACAGGGGGGAAAATCATCGGAAAGCAACCGCCGCATTGAAACGGGCACGTTTTGAAATGCAAAAAACAGGACTTAAAACTTCCGTGCATTGTGTCGAATGGGATCTCTGATGCCAACACGAACCAGAAGGGGGAAAAATACAATTCTCGTGATGCGAATCGACATTTCTTTTTGGAGGCACGCAGCTACCGAACGCCTGCAGTCTGCAATGGAGTGGGGAGCTTTTCTTGGGGGGGGGAGGAGGGATGAAGGATGCATGAAAATAATACCGCAAAGCCATTTGTTTCTATATTGTAAAAGACGTAACGTCCCGGAGAGACCGACATTCAATCCCTGACAAAGGAAACGCTCTTTCAGCAACGGTTTTTAAAAATTCTT